ATCTTAAAAAACTATATCTTATAATAAAGTAATGAAATAATAAATATCCATCTTCTATATATTCTAAATCTTCTATCCCTTCTGCCTCTTCTACATCTTCTAACGATTGAAATCTCTCGGAATTCTATTATACATCGAAAACTTCAAGTTTATTATATATCAAAAAAAAAAAATTTATCGAAAAAAAAACACAGTTTTGATATTTCTAAATTACCGACATTTTAGAAAATATTTTTTACTTTTTTCACAAACACAAATTATTATTAAGATTACTAAAATTACTAATTTTAAAGCAAACTTGCGTTAAAAGTAGAAATTTGTTGAATATAAAGTTGTTAACGATCTCTTCTATTTTATTTATTTTACTAGAAAAAATTTTAACTTAATCACTTGTCTCTTTACAGTCAGGACATAGCTTGGGAGGTTTTCTCCTAACTCTCCTATTGTTATTGCTGTTAAGAACGATTTTCTGAATATATGGAGGCGTCCCGCGTGTCCTTATTTTGTTTGACATATTTTGCAAATAACGAGTTGCAATTTATTGAAGTATTTTATTTTTTATTTTTTGTTTTTTTTTTTGTTTTTTGTTTTTTCTCTTAGTGCATAAGGTTAATCGGTTTTTTAAAAAATTACATTCATCAAAGAAAATTTCAGTGATTTAAATATATAATCGTTTGAGTTGAATAGTGCGTTATTGGTGCTAGGTGCAAAGTTTTTTTTTCCAGATTAGATAACCGATCGGCATCACACATAATCGGGTTACTATTGATTCCAAATTTTTATACAGTCAAAGCTTTTGGATTTGAAATAACTGGATGTTTATTTATGTGATAGGTGAATTGAATGGTCAATAAATGTAAATAAATATTATATTAATATATTATAATGAACCTGAATAGAGAATTGGTCCAAGATTTTATAACCAGAAATCTTTTGATGGATTTTATATTATAAAAAATCAATAGAAAGCCTCTTAATGAAATACTTTTTTAGTACTTGATGGCGCTATTGACATAAAAATAAGAGAATGAAAAATTAAATGAGTATTCATAAATTATTCGTAGAAATTGGGTATTTAAAAAGATTAAATCAAAATCTATGTTTAGAGGTATAAATATACTTTGCTAACAACTTGAAATTTTTTAAATGTATTGTAAAATTAATATTACAGTACATTATATACAAACCATGTTAAGATACTCGTTATTGGTCTTGTAGGGACAGTACAATAGTTAGTATAACATCAATTGTAATATTAATTTATTCATGTATATTTAATATAAATTATAGCAAATTATTGTAAAATATATTGTAAAATTTAATTATGGTAACTTTAATTATAAAATACATTTCCTCTCATTGGTATTTAAAAAAAAGAAAAAAAGCGAAACATTAATAAAACGTTTTGCCAAAAAAAAATCATTTCATCAAAATCTTGCTAAAAGAATTAAATTCAAAAAAAAAATATAGTCCTGATTTCTTTTTCCATGTGCCCAGACCCGTCTAAAAAAAAAAAATTTGAAACGTCAATATATGTTTCATTATAATAAATAAACTAAGACGAAAAAAAAACTTACTATAACAAAATCTTACGCATCCAAAAAGACTCGAAGAAATATCTATAAAAAAAGAACTATTAATATCTGTTCGTTAAATTAAAAGAAAATTTTGAAAACTTACAAATTGTTACATCCAGTAGACCAAAAAGCTGTCTAAAAAAGAAAAAGAAATAAGTAACCATTTTTAAAAGACGGAATAAAGAAATTTAAAAAAAAATAATACTCCACCAAAGTCCCACGTCTAAAGAGCTGAAGAACCGCCTAAAAGAAGAAAAATTGAAGCATTAGAAAATGTTTTGTTAAATAAACGTTTCATCAAAGAATAATTCAAAAAAATCTCTACCCTACCGAATTGTTACATGTCCAAAGACTCAGTCATCTAAAAAAAAGAAAAAATCAAAACATTAGTATATGTTTCGTTGTATATGTTTCGTTGAAATATAGATACTTCTGATTTCTTACCGAATCTCACGTGTCTGAAGGGCGAAACGAAGTCAAAATCTAGAAAAAGAAAAATTAGTATCAAAGATGTCATAAAAAATAAATATGCAATAAAAAACAAAATCTTTCTTCTGCTAAAACCTCAAAAAAAAGAAGCATTGAAACCTACAAAGAAGAAGGACAACTATTAGTAATTAAGACAAAAAGATAAAATAAGAATAGAACACACTCACCTAGAAATCGACAAAACCTAAAAAAGAAACACGGAAGAGCCACCAAAACCTAAAAGTAAAAAGAAATCGAAGTCTACATCTACAAAAAAAAGAAAGGAGAAAGTTAATAACAAAGACAAAAAATATAAGAAAAACCAGAAGAAATGACACTTACTACCATTTTCAGGGACAGAGGATCGGCAAACCCTAAAAGAAGAGAAAACTAAGAAAAACGAACTGTTAATAAAGTTCGTTAAAATAAAATAATCAAAGAAAAAAAATTAAGAATTACCATGCTGAAATCCCATTTCCAAAGAGACCTTAGAGAAACGCCTAGATGAAGAAAGTAAATGAACTGTTAGAAAATGTTCATTAAAACAAAAACAATTAAGGAAAAAAATTTAACTAGCTTACTGAAATTTCACGTCCAAAGAGACCAAAAGAACCACCTAAGAAAAAAAACTAAAATGTTAGAAAACGTTTCATTAAAATAGATAAGAAAAAAAAATTTCTCACACGTCAAAATAGCCAAAGAACCAAGTCGTCTAAAAAAAGTTAAGAAAATGAGCTATTAGAAATTGTTCATAAAATAAAAACAATTAAATAAAAAAAATAATGAAAAACTTGCCAAAATGCCATGTCCAAGTAGACCGTAAGAACCATCTAAAAAAAAAAGAAAAAATTGGTAAAATAGATAATTAAGATTTAAGAAAAAAAATTTTCACACCATATTCCCACGTGTCTAAATACTTGAAGTCTAAAAAAAATTAAGAAAAATAACTATTAGAAATCGTTCGTTAAAATGAAACAATTAAAAAAAAGACAAACATACCAGAAATTTGCACCTAAGGAGGGAAACGCTTAAGATTTCTTCAACAAAAAGTGCGAGAGAAGCGGGAAAAGAGAAAGAAAAGAGAAGGGAAATGTAAAAGTAAAGGGAAAAGGGAGAAAAGAAAAGGAAAGAACAAGGGAGAGATGAAAGAAGGATACGAAGGGAAGTAAAAGGGTGAACGAAGGAAAAGGGAAGAATGAAAAAAAAAGTAAAAAAAAGTTTAAAAGAAAAAAAAAAATGATCGCGGATTATATCACATGCACGTGATACATAATTTTATATAAATAGGGCCATAGGGGTTTCTCCGAAATTTGAATTCTTTTTTTTTATATTTTTAATATATAAATTTTACGAAAAGCCCGTAGGGTTTTTAATGTAATTAGATTATACACCTAGTATATATTAACGTTAATGGTAATTAGATTATATTATAAATAATTAATTGTGATATTCATTATACAATATTTTGTACAATATACACATAAGTAAAATCTTGTGAAACATTGTAAAAAATTATAAGACTCATTGAAAAATGTATCAGAATTATATATTTTACAATTGAATGTGAATAAATTAATATTAAAAATGGATTGTTAGAAATATTGTACTATATATTTTCAGATTTAAAATACCTTGTACAAGGCTTGTACAAGGATCGCACAATGCATTATGAAAATTTAGCATTGTTAGCAAAGTAGATGGCGATGCCGAAAAATAGCTCGTACCCCTGTTACAGATTAAATTTATTATTTTCAAAAACAAATAAATAAAGAAATCTGATAGGTTGGATCATTGATCATTTAAATAAAGAATTTATGATAGGTTGGATCATTGAATTAGTTGATCATTTAAATAAAGAATTTATGAGAAATCTGATAGGTTGGATCATCACCTTTTTTTAGTTATATTAATTAAATCTAATACAATCTAAAGCGTCCTATAAAATATACAGCAATTTGTGATACGCGCACTATTGATCTTCTAATAATAACGCGTAAATATCCAAAATTATTTAATTTGATTTTATCAATCATAATACGCTTGAAATTATTACAATCTCCGAAATAAAAATAAAGTTAAATCTAACTGCTTTGAGCCTCATTTGTTAGTTAATGCACAAATAATTCATATGACTGACCTTGTGTTATTCCCGCCCTTGTTTTAATATGTTTATAGCCGAAAAAAATCATTAAAAAATTAAAAATCTTTTATTTATAGAATAATTAACTTATTTATTTACTATTATATAATTAAAATTTTTTTAAAAAATAGAATTTCTTGAAAAGTACAAACTCAATAAAGAAAGCAGAAAGAACTGAATGAATGAATGAATAACCTTGTAAGCATCGTGCATTTGCATATGATTATACAAGTAAAATTATTTTTCAAAATATTTTTTATTAATAGGTATTTAATTTGATAGATGCTTTCGTTTATCAGTTGATAATAATATCGTAAATAAAAAAATTACAATCATTTGACCGTTTTAGTAAGATCGCCGAAGTTATTCACATACTGTATTAACAGTATAATGCAGTCATAAATTCAAAATAATGATAAGTTAGCTAATCAATGAGAGAATGAAAATTAATATTGTGTATTACCGTCTAATACTGCATATAGTATCCCCTTTGATGATCGTACCCCACTTTATTTATAAGGCCCAGGTATTTTACTAGATACAATTGTATAATACCCGGGTATTATATGCAGTGCTAGATGGTACATATGCTAAGATAAGATGAATGGCATTTTAAAATGAATAACAAGTTATTAAAAACTCGGATGTTTTATATCTCCATCTATTTAATTATCTAAATCGGTAAATTGCCGAAAAATAATAATGTCAAAAAAAAAAAATAAATAGATAAACTTATATAAGTCCTAGCAACCCACAGTTATATTTAATAATCAATAAGTTTCAAATTTTTGATTCCTTTTTTATACTTCGTTATAATGCCATTAAAAAATTATGGACAAAAAACTTGCGGAACGCCACCATATGTTCAAAATATCTGTTTCGAAAATAATGCTTGCAAGATAATAAAAGAAAGTAAAACTCCAAAGGTTTGCTCTGATTGTAAAGAAATGAGCGATTCTGTCAAACTTATTTCTAGTAAAACAAGTAAAACAGAAGAAGTAATTGACGATTTTTATAAAAATCCCATAAGAAAGAGTAAGATTAATCAATTTTCTATCTTCGATGCAAAATTTATTTTAAACAATGTCCCTCGCGAATTAGAATACGATTTATCAAATTTATTTAGAAAATTTACATAAATTGGTAATTTTTAATGAAATGTTTAGCAAAATCGACTCTCGAACAATTAGAAAAATATTCTTTCCAAATAATTTATCACAAACACAATTTATTTTATACATTAAGATTTATTAAGAAATTATTTAAGACACTTGAAATTTATGGACAATATTATTACGTTATAAAATCATTTTTGTAATTATTACATGATATATAAGCAACCATTTACTCCTTTTTTATTAGACAAATAATAAATTTATATTATTATGATATATATGAATAAATGTGTTTTTTAACATTTGGCACTAGTTTTTGATGGTCTAATTTCATCATCTTTGATAATTTAACTTATTACTATCTTTTTGCACTCAATAAGCATTAATAACTGCTTGATATACTTTCCTTAACCCTAACTTCACGTAATTTACAACCAAGTTTTATTTGACGAAATAATATTCAGGGCCCGGAAAAGTACGTCTCTCTCAGTGTATAAGGAAAAATTTACTATTAGCTCGGTCAAGGCCGGAATTATAGTAATGCCGGCCAGCTAGTTTTTTGACTAGAATTATCAAGAATTATCCATCTAAGGAAAGATCTACGTAATTGCTGCTATAGCCGGGTTCGGCAAACGGCGAGATCTGAACGAACCTAAATACTTATGAGTTGCAAGCATCACAACAAAAATCATAAAGATTAAAAATCTAATTTTTACTAATAAATTTGAAATCTCACCAGCATTTTAAAATTTCTTGTTCAAATCGGATTTTAAGGTATTTGGAAAGGAAAGTGTTATGTTTTATTTTTTTTTTTCATCATTTAATTGATTTAAGAAATGTTTCTAATAATGTTTCTATTTTTTGTATTAGGGACATAATTTAGACTTAGCGGTTAGGTAAATAAAGAAAAATTATGTAAATGGGAAAGGGATAGTAAATTATTTTTCATTTTCATTTCGTTTTGCTAATCTTGATTTACTGTAATAAGAAAAGGTTACGGTACGATTTCCTGGCTGCTATTTTCCCGAATATAACTTCTCTAGAAGTCAATTACCTGAATGCCAATTTCTTGAACTGGACATTAATCATGCTAAATAAATTTCCATTCATTATTAGAGGAAAAAAAAAATCAAAATTTTTAACTTTTTTTTATATTGTTTCTTTATTAAACATTATATAATGTGTAAAAATCAAATAAATGGATTTTAATTAAACCTTTATATTATTTATTAATATAAGCAAGTCTTTAATAAATTTTTTATTAAATTGAGAATCAAAGATTTTAGGACTTTACCAATAATTTATATTATAACATTACAGAATTTGTTTTTACATTGTAAGACCTAAGCTCGCGATAAATCACGTTGCCACCTTAGGACTTAACAAAATAATACAATAATATGCTTGGTTTAATAATACTAAATAATAACTAAATATTTATCCAAATAATTTCACAAATCCTTTTCCACAATGTTGATATTTGCGGCTATTTATATGAATCTATACATAGTACCGTAACGAAACTTCTGCGGCTTTTAACACTATGTTTTACTGCAAAAACCTAAAATATCCTATCTCATATAACTTCATACTTCATACGAACTACAAGTATTAGTCATATTTTTGAAATTTTCATTTTCCTTCGTTTTTGACCTTCAAAACCATTTCCAAATATGTAAATATTCTAATAATAGATTCTTTCATCATGATCTACAAATTAATCATCTGATTTCCTAAATCATCTGACTCAAATCTTTCATCCCGAACGTATAAACCTTAATCATCTGATTCATAGTTTAACGTCATCGCGGACCATAATCCTTTAATCCTTTGTTTGGTAGTTTAACGTCATTCCGGACCAATTAAAATACAATTTTAAAACTAAAAATTTATACACTAACTCTAAATATAATACTGCGCCTCATAATTAATAAATTTACTAGGTAAACTACGGCATTACAACAGGCCGATCAATTTTCTTGGTTTTTTTTAAAAAAAATATTTTTTAAAAAACAAATTTAATTTTAATTGACATAATATTTTTAATTCCGACGCTATAGAATGATTTTCATTTGATCAGCAAAATCTAAAGCAAGCTAATAATCTCCATGATTAAATATTTATTTATTTATTACATAGAGAAACAAGATCAAAATAGACCATTTAATTTTACGAAGGATTCTAGTCCTTTATGTAATTTGAGGATCTAAAAACATTATTGCCGTTTTCAGAAATGTTGACATTAGAATGTCGATCATTTCTATAAATCGAACACACCGAACACACACCGAACACAGCAATTAAAATTAAAAAAAAACAAATTTTCCTTTAAAAAAAGCAAAATTAAAACTTTAGTAATCTATTTTTAGGTAGTGTGCATAAAAAAATGTATAAAAATTATATTATTTGCATATATGTATTCACTTGTATTTGCTTGTATTTGCCAATGTTCGGTGTGTTCGGTGTGTTCGTTTGTGTTCGGTGTGTGTTCGGTACAAATTTTCATATTTTCAATTTTATTCATATCTAAAAAGTGACAAAAATAGTTTTTATATAAAGTNTGTCATAAGATAAATGTCAGCATGACAGCATTTATATTTTTCCTGAAGGAACTTTCGAAGGTTACATCCATCCTTTTTTAGATGGCTTATGTATAATTTTAGTTGGCTTATATATAATTATAATTGGCTTATGTATAATTATAGTAAGTCAAATTAGCCATGATTTTTACTTTTTGGGAATGTTTTCCGAAGAATGTACGATTCAATAAAAAAAGGGGTTAGTTTTTATTAACCTTTTCATCTGCTTTTCATGTTTAAAAAAAAAAAAATATGTTGAAAAAAAGATTTTGGGAAAATGATCATGGTAATGTTATCTTAATTTATAATATTTATAAAATTTATAAAAAAATGTAATTTGTAACTGAAAAAAAAAAAAAAAATAGAGTTGAAGATCGATAATCTACTATCTATTGTATGAATAAATCAAAGGGCTTTAGGTGCAGCTTTATTTACAAAGTATGTTTTCTATCCGGTTAACGCTGAAGTGATTTGATGTCTACATCCGGAAAAATTATCTTGAACTTGCATGCGCACACGATCATCCTCCCATTATTCGCAATCAGGTCTAGACCCTAGCAATAGAAGTTCGAATATTTAGCAATATTCCTGAATAATTTCCATCCAATTTTCAATCCCATCAGATTACCTGTGCCCTAATGGGTCTAGTGCTCGCTTGGCTCATCAAAGACTTGAAGCATTAGGCAAACCCAAAGATCACATGTGCCCTAGCACTAGTTTTTGGCTCAACACGAAGACTTGAATGATAGAAGAACCCAAAGATCATCTACATGCCATTCTCTATATTCTTATTAGTAAAACTAGTAAACCTAATACCTGCCTCCTTATACTTATCAAAGAGATTTTGCGCTTTTTCACATCTTTGACTTGTCTCAGTGCTCTTAATCCTCTTGAGAGAACAAAGGTAGCATACTGTTATTTGTTGAAACGGCTCCAGCTCACATGCGTTAAGGAATCCATTCTGATGTTCTTTTTTCGAAGTATTCGTGCAGTACTCTATTAGAAGACATTTACGTCTAAAAAAAAAATAGTGAAAAAATCATATGATATCCTTTTTTCTAAGGCACTTCCGTTTTGTGGGCGTGGCGGGCACGTCATATAAACAACACGAATCCGCAATCACGTGATCGGGTTATACCTTAGACATCACGAGCATCCTTATCCTGGATGCTGGCAACACCCGGAGGGTGAGGTCCTTTAGATATGATCTTAGATCTAGTTTACGGGATTTTTAACCACAGCACTCTTAATTGTATAGTTATTCACTAGTAATAGTTGTTTACTTCTTTTATGTACTTGTCATTGGTTACTCCTCTCTGAAATAAAAAAAAATGGATGCTGGCAACAATTAAAATTAGTTATTGATATAATGAAATTCTAAATTTCGTATTTTGAAATGGATAAGAACTATGAAACAATATATTAATTTATATTTTTTTTTTATCTTCATGCCTACTGTACAAAAGTATGCAACTAACCTTTTTTTTTATTAATAACACGTATTTCATTAATCTAGTTTTTATTTGTAATATATACTTTTGTCGTTTTTAAAAAAATATGCATTCATAATGTATTACATTACTGAATACTAGTATGATCAGGTAATAAGCAGAATAAATGTGTAAATAGCATATTAAAGCTATGACTAGTTATCGAACGATAATAATAAATAATTTATCTTGTAGTTTGTGAAAATAAAATTTATTATCGACCTTTAAATATTACTGACTCTTTGGTCAATTAGTAATGTAAGAATGCTAATTTACAATTAACAAAGCATGCTTAACTAAGATTCAAACACAAGCATGCTCCAATATTTATCAATTATGCTTTTAAAGCATTTTCAACTTTTTAATGTCTCCAATTGGGTTTACCACAAAATCCTGACAACCATAAAATCGACAGCCGACACTAAGATCCCGACAAACCCAAATCCCGTTGAAATAAAATCCCGATAGTCACAAATTCTGACAGTTAAAAATCTTAAATCCAAAAGTTTTTTTTTTTTAAAAAAAAAAAATTTATAAATTTTCCATAATTTTAAAAATGCAGTGACGCAATAACGGGTTAATTTATTCTAGTTAAAAGGATTATGTACAGTATATTACTAGATTACTAAACTGTTCCTTATCTTCTAAAATTAGAAATAATTGCATTAAAATCAAGTAATCTCAAATTCATCTGATCGATAATCGTGATTCTGTAATTGTCAGGATTTTGATTCAATTGGGATTTGCATTTATCGGGATTTTGAATATTATGGATGTCAGGATTTTTGGGTGATCCCTCTCCAATTACAATTATCGTAGATTCATAGAACATTGGTATTTATATTTGTTAGATTGATGTAAAAACTTCATAATATACAAAATCTAAGCAAGTTAAATAATTTTCATAATTTGATTAGGAAATATTCTACATTACGGACGGGAAAAACAGAAATTTATTGAGCAAATTTACATTAATAGTATATTGTTTACATCGAATTTAAATTAGTCAAACTTAGGTCAAACAAATTAACGTCCCCAAGTTAATTAAATGATATCTAACAATCCGCTTTATGACACATTTTGCCAATAAAGGTAGTAACTGGAAAATCATCCTAAGGCCATGTCATGTCTCAACAAAGAATCTAGTAAAAATTGTAATAAAAAAAAAGGAGAAATAACAACAGATTGAATTTGTTATTCATCAGATGAATTTTCAATCCCTATGAAAAAAGAATTCCAGAATTTTGTTCTCATTGACCAGCGGAATCTCTCCCATTTCGTACATTTTCCGGATATCACTTTTCTTTTGTTCTTATTATATCATATTGTGTATTAAGAAAATTCTTGATTTCAAGAGAAAAACCATTACTCATCACCTTATCTCAAATGATGTCAATATTTACAAATATTAAATAATAAACAAAAAAAACTCCTAAATAGGCAAAAGCATGTGGATCTACGATTCCTAATTTGGAAATTTTCTATTAATAAAATTTTTAAAAATAACGATAAACTAAATGACGTTAGGGATTATTTATAATTAATTTTTAATTATTTATGCAATACAGAAAAAAACGGAATTATGAAAAATTATTTAAAGGCTTTTTTTCTGTTTTTAACCTTTTAACCTCACCATACATATGTTATAAGCTTAATAAGTTTTCAATGTCATATATACGAAAAATTGATTTATGTAATGATAACAAGAGAACTAGGAATAAAAAAAATTCACTAGTATGCCCTAGTTGTATCGAAACCAATGATTATTTTAACCTATTTTCTAAAAAAATAAATCAAATCGAAGAAATTGTCGATAAACTTCGTAAAAATTCAAATCTTCCATCAAAAAAGGCAGATCAATTCTCAATATTTAACGCAAAATTTACTCTAAATAATGTACCATGCGAATTAGAATACAATCTGTCAAAATTTTCTTTAGAAGATTTACAAAAACTCGTAATTGTTACGACTCCAAATTGCAATAATAAATATCCATCTTCTAATACAAGTAATGAAAGTGATAGCTCTGAATATTCAAATAATGAGAGCCCTTAAGAAATTACTTTTCTTCCCATAAACACTCGAATATAAATTATTATTTTACCTTACCTCGAATAAAATAAATTCTGGATTGTTTCGTTTATTTAATCATTTCGATTCTTTCAATTATTTCGACCCTTTCGATTATTTCGATTATTATTATTTCAATTATTTATGACTTATCGCTTATCGTTATTTTTGATGTTAAGAATTTATATAAGATAAATTACACTGAAATTTTTAAGATTTTAATTAGTATGGCTACTTTTATAGTTCAGTTTAAATTAAATAATTGATACAAATAATTAATTAGTTGTCAATAATATTACTATGTAATTATGGTTTTTAATAAAATTTGATACCTTTATTGATTTGATGATTCTTTACGTTATAAAATTAATAAAAATTTCTTCATTAATTTGATTACATTTTCATATTTGATATTCAAGTTTATGTATTAATTTGGTCGTAAATATGAGAAACAAACAAAACAAACAGTACATATTTGCCGCAAAGTTTGTTTATAGCTTGAACTTTATTAATTATTAAGCTTATCATAAATATGCGTAGGTTATATTAAAGGCATATTACAAATATCGGAAAAACGCATTATCTGTTATCAAAGATTAGCAATGTAAACACAGAGATCAAATAGCTATGTATGATGAATATCTAAGTTTGTGAATGTTTTATTACATCATAGTAATTAAGTCATGTGATTTAACTTCAACTTTCCTTGATTTTAAATACTCAAAAATCTCTTGATAGAAATTTATTATGTTTATAATATTTAATAAGAATAATTTCCCACAGAATCGAGGAGAGTTCTCAATCTGTCAAATTTTTTATTATCAGTAATTTAGTATGATAATAACATTAAGAATTCGAGATTCTTTCAATTTCATTCATCCAATTAATTTTATTTTACGAAACGTATTTACTGTATACATTTAATATAATTATTATAGCAAATGAGAATAGAAATTCATATATATTATTTCTCTTTATAAAAAAAGTTAATAATTTGTCTTATTATTTCTAAGTTATACTTAAGTTATAATTAAAGAAAATTTTAAATTATGATCTGAAAAATAATAACAAGGAAGAGTGAAATCCTAAATATTTGCAAAGTTTAATAAACTACTATGTATATTTGTATAATAATATTAATTGTATATAATATTTTTGTTTCTTTATTTTACTTGATATATAAATTTTTGTATTGTGTAAAAATTAAAAATAGTTACAATTTTTATTTAGTAATAAGTTTATAATATATTAATAAAAGTGAGAATTTTATATCAGATATTAATTATTATTCATTAAATTATAGTATATATATACAATAAATAATAAAGTATAAAATAAATCAGTTTTCCATCTTTTCATGTAGTGCTATATTATGGTATTTAGCGTAAAAAAAAATATAGTTTTTGAATCGTGAACATTAAATTTTTCTAATTTCTAATTTTAGCCCAACAAGAATCGATCTGTTTTGGCCAAAATTACAAAATCACGTGGATAAAATTTGGAGCGTGAAAAAATAAATCACACAGCATTTAGTTGTATACATTAAAAATAGAGATTCATTCATACTTAAATTATATTAATTATACTTAATTTAGCTTCACTTTAATGCTTCCAAGTTCCAACTTGCTGTACACATTTGATTGATATTCAACGCTCAGACAATTAAAAATTTACAAATCTTATTCATTGCGGCGGATTTATGAAATTTGGCAAAAACCGACTACCAGCGTACCCTACAAAAATGCCACGAAACGGCCGGCATTAAGAAATTAAGAAATTAACAATGTGACAAATAATGAATGACAAATTTAGGATTAAACACCTCGAAAAAATCTTAAGTCCCCCCAGATACTTATGAAAGATGAAGGGTGTGACGCATGTGACCAAAAACAGTCACGTGATTTTTCGGGACATTTTTGTAGGGTACGCTGGGTAATCGCTTTTCCTAAGAATGTCAAATAATGACGCGACTTTAACACTGGAAAAATTGGTTAGATAATGGGAAAATTGGTTAGACGCAAGATTTGGGGTACAAAAAATTTTCAGAGCTCATTTTTGACTGTTCACTAATAAATTTGGGACTTAAATAGAAATTTGATGACTAAAATACTGTCAAATCTTTATTTAATTTGACATGACGAACAAATTTTGGGTATTTCATAAATCCGCCATGATGTATTTACTGCATTTATCCACTCTAATTATATTAACTTATTGTTTTCCCTATAAAAACGAAACTCATGTGTAATAAATGTCTAAAAAACACCATTTTGTTTAATTTTTGTTTTTTTGTAATAAGACATAAATCGGACAAAATGGTGCTTTTTTGGACGTTTTTTACACATGATCACAAATTTAACACATTTCATTTTTATAGGGTTTATTATCTATTATACTAAAGAAAATAATAATTTGCTGTGAATCTACCGATTTATTAATGTAATTTAGATCTGAAAATTTTAATAATTTCCATGAATATAAACCGGATGTCTTGTTCATTGAAATAAACGGATGTCAATCATGTTTACAAATTACAATAATAAATACCCCGTTCGCATTTATTACCTATTTTACACCCGCTTTGATTAATTTTGAAATATTAAGGGAACTTTAAACAAACTAAATTATATATATACAGTGTTAAAGAACATCTACAACGCATTTCTTCGTATTTATTCAATATACAAAATCAGACTTATAATTATTAAATTCCTTTATGACTAAAATTTTTTTGAGGAACGATAAATAATATCAGATATGGATACTAATTTGTTACGAGAAGTTATAATTGTTCAAAAAAATTAACATCATCTATTAAAACGAAATAATAAAGTCAAATGAATGATTATTATTATACGCAAATAGATCATTAGCTAAAATAATAATAAGACGACGAAGTAAATATATTTTTAGAAGATATCGGTCCTTTGTAGTAGAAAGAAAAAAAACTGCTGGAAAAAATAAAAAATGAGTTAATACTTAGTAATTCGCAATTCAATGTAAGCATCGCTCGGTGAAATGCTAGGGGCAAATTATTATTATTTTTTATTAGTAAATGGTATTCAAAGTGCATTATAGTAGATAGACCCTCTGCTGATTCGTTACTCACCGGTACAAAATGATCGGGCAAAATAGAATGCTGATTTCCAATTCGTCAATTTCTAACTAAATCGCTTGAAATTTTTACTGAAAAAACTTTTTGAGATTTCAGTTTTTTATCCAAATATTTTAACATAATTTCCTTAAAGTTAAAAATTTTACAAATAGTTCAAATAGTTCCTTTTAGCAAATCCCGTTAGCATCTTTTATTTAATGAAAGTATTGGCTAGAAGTCTCAAAATTAACACATCATACTGTACACTTTTAATATATATTATATTTATAAAAAAAAGTAATTCAAAAAACATGAAATTTTTCACAAATTTGGATTAATAGCTTTGAATCCCTTTAAAAAATCGGTAATTTTACGAAAATTTCATTTTTTCCTATTTTTAAAGTTAAATAACTTAATCAAATCGAAAATTTGAAACTTACTTAATTAATACGCAACTCCTACTGCAAACAAATATTCTAAATATACACAAAGTGTTTATTTTATAATTATTAAAGCGAGCATGAGTGGTTGAGTGGCAGATCAGAAATTGAGAAATTATTGACACCAAGAAAAAAGATATTTTAGCTATAAAACATTTGACCAATAAATGAAGACTCAAGATTTGAAATCCAAAAATTTGAGTTTTTAAATGTAAATTTAATTTAATTTGTATTTTTCGGTTAAATGAAACATGTTACACGAGTTTAAACCTATCGTGAAAACTCAAACCCCACGTGTATCAATGCTGCGAGAGTTTCCCCTATCTAAAAACTTGTATGTTGTATGACGAAAGTTAAAAATGAAGAATTATAGAACTGAAATTATATTTTGTAAGGAAAAAAAATCAGATATTTGAAGGAGGAACAGATACTTATAACTGAACTTTGATTTACTACATAAAATGTTCCTAAAAGAAATTAAAATAAATTTTAACAAAGCATACCAAGAAAATAATCACAAATCTAAATTGCTTTTTGGAAATAATTTATAAAACTCGGCTGTTGCCGGGTCCAATCGATTAGTTTTGTGCATAAAACAAATATGCATGCGAGTATTTAAAATCCAATGATCCCATTATTAGCACTTTTTAGTTTTAAGTGATTCTATTTATAGTATTCTTACACGTTATATTTATATTAATTTTTTTTTTCTATTCTGTAACAAATAACAAATATTAATTCATTAAATTAAGTTATAGAATCGATCAATCTATCTTGATCAATAACATTCTATGTATTACGTTACGAAAAAATATTCAATGCATAATATGATTATTATGATTAAAGTATTAAAAATGTCGATAACTTATTAAAATAAATAAATTATTAAATAAAATTTGGAAGCTAATGGGATTGAAATAAGTCCGGACTTAATAAAAATAGAAATAAATTCCAAAAATATTTCATAAACATTTTTATCATTTGACACTATTGTATTATTACCATATCTAGCATCTACAACGGATAAATTTTCAATCAAGAATTCGGAAATTAATTATAACGAAAAATTGATTACAATATTACAATATAAAATAAATACTACTACAATAACGCGTAAATCTCACAAATAATTATTGTATGCGATTTAACTAAATTTTGGTATTTTGTATATGCACATAATAACAATAAAAAGAAGAAAAGAAGGTATTTTCGACTTCCATTAATTAATAATATTAAAATCAGAGTTTTTAATACATTTAATTATGAATATTTTTAGACATCGAATAATGACATTATGATAAATTTATAATATTACACAAATTTATAAGTCTTTGGCTACAATAACAATACTATAATTTTAAGAGAATGCTTTTAGTTGATTTAAGTTTAGGATTAAATTTTTGTATCTTCTTTGTTCAAAGAAACAATCTAAACAATCCGGCAATTATTTTGACCGTTTGATCATATGATCGAACAAGAATGTTAGCCTGATAAACCGGAGTTGTTATACGGTTCTTATTTTAAAATTTTCTTATAAAAAGCTCAGAAAATCCCGTATTAAAATTTACTTGTCAAAAAAAAAAAACCCCTAAAAATCTTATTGTATAATTTTTTATTTCATTCTTGCAAATTTTTTTTTTAAAAAATAAAATTTCATTGCTGAAATTTCATTAAATAACAATTTCATTCGAATGTTATCTGAACGAAGAATGCGCGGGACGCGCAGAACGCGCAGGACACTGCGATTTATAAATAATGCATATAATATAAATCAATATCGAGTTTCACGAATTTTCCCAATAAATAATATAAGCACGATTTCCCGAATTTCTCAAATAACCATTCCACAAATTACACGTAACTCTTTTGAGAATGATTTCTTTAACGGGACAAGTTTTCATGAAACTAATAGTCTAGAATCTCTGATTTTACCCGCTGGATATGGATCATCGTTGTAATAATAATAAATACATTTTTCAAATAATGTATTATTTCATTTCAATTAAATAATAATCAATTTATGGCTAAATCTCAACTTTGATAGGACTCATAAGATGTTATAATAGTTAGTGTATTTTAAATTATTAAGATTTTATTCTGTAAGCATAACAATCATTATGTATTATTAATCGCGATGTAACTTTTAAGTAATTTTTGTGAGTAGTCAAGTTGATCATTTACTAATGAATAGGCATTAGTAATAAAGTTATTTATATAACTAGATGCTATAGTATTATTTATCAATATAGAATTTAAGGTTTAATTTTGTTATTTACAAAAACAATTAAAAATTCAAAGTAATAAAAGAAAGCATGGAAGGTTGGATCCACAAGCTGTTGATCCGGCGTTACCAAATAAGTTTAAAACGGTTGTTTTTGGTTAATAGACTATATTCTAGATGTAATCGAAAAGAAGAATTTACATGTAACGTGACCACAATTTTTCGAATTTAATATGATAATAAATTGTTGCTAGTACATGATCAATCATGAATATACCCGCGGTATGATTGGGCATACAATAGTTCGTTTGCATATTGTATAATCGAAGAGAATAAAAAAATCAATAGTTATTGCTTAACTGGGCGATATGATAAATTTTCGTGTTAATTATTGTTCATTCATTTTTTTTTTGAAAACAATATCTTTTTAATTTAATGCATGAATATTATGAATATTATGCATATTAATCTAAGAAGACAATACTGTAGCTGGATGTAAGGTAATCTTTATTATATCTTTATTGTACTACAGTGTACAGAATGATACTATGAGTTTAATAGTCTCATAGAATTCCATTTTTTTTGAGGAACGTAAAACAATCATTTTGGTGAAACCATTTAATTGTTTTCGCACAATGACTAAAAAATTTTGTGATCGATTATTATCAAAAAATTTGAAAAATATCATTAGAAGATGATTAACAACAATGCGCAAGCTTTAATTTTTGATAATCGATCGTTCAAATAATGATTTTTAACATTTTGTATATCATTTTTGTTTGTTCGATTTTGAATTCTTTTCTTTCCATATTCAAAAAACTAACATTTTTATCTCTGCTAAACCTGCTGTCGTTATTGTTGTTTCCGAAGTAACAAAAAAACCAATCAACCCTACAAATCAATGTTCTATAATATAAACGATTACTGCTGACATTGTATATGACTTTATAACCTTTCATACTTTGGACTATTTTAATTGGCTTGCCGCTACTATTTAAAGAAATATCTTTAACGATCTTGAAAATGAAATTTAGGTAGTACCCATTATCACTCATAATTCACAATAATTCGTATTTTATAAAATTAATTTATTCTTTTATAATATTCGAATTTAAATATTCCAAGATTTTATATTCTATTAACTTATTATTTATGAAATTATTAATCGCTTATTGCCTTTTTACTAATCAATACATTTCAGTAAGTTTTATTTATTATAGGTTCCTAAGATTAGTACAACCATATTACGCATAATATATTATTGTGCATATGCATAACTTATACAGTATATTTCCGTAAGGGCAACATTTTATAATGAGTCGTTTTTTTTGCCATATTGGACTACTAATCATTGACACTACAGTTAGTAAAATATAGTCTTTTCCCCATATTTTCTTGGTTGTTATTCTTATTCCATCCCTATCATTCAATTATGATACGTATCTGCATTTCCAATGTATTATGATATATTGAAATAAGTAGAAAAATCTTGTTGCTACTTGCTGTAGACAGAACACCTAAGTAATAGATTATATAACTTTGTTAATAGAGTCAGAGTGGTTAGGAGTGTGCATTAGAACATAATGATAAAATGGGCAAAAAATCCTGAATTCTGTCTTAATAAAGTGAATTGAATGTAGAGTGACACTACCTCAATGATAAGTATCCGACCTGCTTTTGCATCTGGTATATTTCAGAGAATAAACCGAGTTTCAGGATTCTACCTATATATATATATCTATCTAAGATGAAACAGGAACATAAGCGAATAGGTATGCAATATAGTCAATCAATTAAGTCCATCTTCTCATTGTATTCAAAGTTAGGGTCATAGTAACTGTTTATCTCTTAGATCTCTTGATTAAAGGAAGGTAAAAAAAAAAAAAAAATAGCAAAATAAATTTAAATATGGCTGATGGGTAGGATTATGCTAAACCCTACAAAGAATACATTTTTTGGCTACTATACTTCCATGGATATTCGACTGTCTTCACTCACATGCCTTAAAATTCCGGAATCGCATACTCATTTTTTTTCGCTATTTTTTCCGTATGAGGAACAAAAAAGGATACCACTCAAGTACTACATGCTTTCAACCTCAGCATTATATACGTATTCTCTCAGGTAAAAATACGTATGAAGAAAAAACAAAAACCAACACGATATACAGTTGTTATTTTCATTGCAAAAATACATCACTGAGCATTATTGTTCCGTTATACACCAAAATTGCCTGTCGAGATATGTAGGTTAATTTCAATTCCGTGAAAATACATTCCGATGCGGCCAAAAATTTGGAATGCATCATATTTGGTATTTAAAAATGATGAATGTTGCCAAAATCATTTACTATGCCACACACATAATCTAACCGAAATGGAATTTCCTTTGCTTTTTCGCATGATTTTTAGAAGATCCGATCATTTAAATTTCTACCACTAAAAAAAACTTGAATGGCTATTGTCGAATTACCATCATAAAATAGATTAGTCTGATTAGATTAAATAAATCATTTGGACATTTTTAACGAACTTTAACATGAAACTTATACAAAATGAATGTGCTCAAACCTTTTTTTAAAAAATAAAATAAAATTGAATGCAATGCTTTTTATTATTTGTTTTTTATAAAGAATATACATAAATAATAATGTTTCATAATTTTTTTTTTTAAAAAATAAAAATACAAGTGATAATGATTGTTATAATGATAATAAATGAATCTATTTATATAAGAAAAGTCAATAATTTACCAATCCAATTTTTTATCACCACCACATCCAACCGCCGCTGTATTTCCTAAAATTTCTATTTTGTTACTTTTTTTGTTATGACTCTTTGTCGAGAGTTTGTTAGAAACTACCCATTTACTTGTTCCAAGAATTCTATCAAGTTCTTGTTCAGGGGGAAGATACAAAAATACGTAATCATCCTCAATTTTAATTTCAAAAGTCATTAGCTTAAGATCCGCATCTCCCGAAACACATTCACCAGTTTCCAACGCGAAATTTTTCTTATGCATTGGACAACTTACTCTCATTATACCATCATCTTCATCACCGAGTATTCCTTGAGATAATACAAAGGCTCTCTTGTGCGGGCACATATTTTGTGTTGCGTACCATTTTGTACGTTCATTGGTATTAAATATGGCGATTTGTGTATCTCCATATTTAATAACCTGACCAGCATCATTAGGAAATGCGCTAGCTGGAGCAATTTTCACCCATTTTTTCGATTCCAAGTTTGCCGACTTTTTGATTTCTGAAATTTCTTTTTCGGTAACTGAACATTCCTTTGGCCAATCTGCTGGACGAGTTTGGCCACGTTCACTTACGGTTTCAATTTCATCTACGTTCTCATCTGTATTTACAAATTGAGTGAAGTCCGCACGCCTTTTTGGGTCTTTTACGACTTTGGCCCACTTTAAAAATAAATAAAATAAATAATTAGATCGTCTCGACTCTTAATAAATTCATGATGATGTAATAAAGTTATAATTCCTTACCTCGCATTCATAAGTATATATTAAACGAGCCATGTCTTCTTCCAATTCTGCGCATATACCAAGATAATCATCAACAATAACTCTTTTAAGATACTAAAATGATACGTAATTATGTTAAAAAAAAATGTATTCATATATTATACAATAATAAATAAAATTATCATAAGTTACTTACTTCAATTCCTCCTTCCATTTTTTCTAACCATCTAGCTGTACGGGCCAATCTATCAGCGGTATGAATATAATACATCAAAAATCTATCAATATATTTTACGGCGGTATCAGGTGAAACGTCCTTTGCTAGTAAAACAGCATGTTTTGGTTTAGATCCACCATTACCACAGACATATAGGTTATAACCATTGTCAGTAGCAATAAGACCAAAATCTTTTCCTTGAGCCTAGAAAGAAGTCAAATAGCCAAATTAAAAAAAAAGAGAGAAAGAAAGAAAATGATTTAACGTCTAAATCACTTAAATACTTACTTCCGCGCATTCCCTAATACATCCAGAAACGGCACCTTTAATCTTATGAGGAGCTCTAATTCCTTTATATCTATTTTCTATTTCAATAGCGAATTGTACACTATTTTGCTGACCTGATCATTCGAACAAAAATAAATAAAAATTTAAAATTTGCATTTACGGAAGGGAAAACAGAAAAACTTCTAACAATTATACTTACCATAACGACACCATTCTGAACCGACACTAAAATATTTCCAAATAAAATAAAAGAAAGTTACGTTAATAATAATGAAATGTTAGTGTAAATATTATAAAATATATCATTTAAAAATGCTTACCAAGATTTTACAGTTCTCAAAGCTTTTCCGTAAGCATGACCAGATTCAAAACCTGCATTAACGAGCTCTTCCCATATTGCAGGTAGATCTTGCTTTTTAGCACCGAAAAGATCAATTCTCTGACCGCCAGTAATTTTAGTGTATAAATCATATTTTTTGCCAACTTCTCCGAGAACAACAAGTTTTTCAGGCGTAATTTCACCTCCAGCAATTCTAGGTACCACAGAATATAGTCCTCCACGTTGAAGATTAGCAAGATAACGATCATTCGTGTCTTGTAAACCTGCATGATCTAGGATATGATCATTCCATAAACTAGCTAAAATTGACGCGATAGCTGGTTTACAAATTTCACATCCGTTAGCTCCTTTTTTACCAACTTGTTCAATAATATCTTTGAAAGTTTTCAATTTCTTTATTTTGGCGACTTGGAATAATTCGGCGCGTGTTAAACTGAAATGAGGACAAAGCGCATTAGTCACTACGTGACCTAGTGCTTTCATTTCAGCTTGGAAAATTTCCGCAACAGCTGGAATACATCCACCGCATCCTGTACCAGCCTTTGTGCATGATTTAACTTGACCAATAGAACGGCATTCATCAACTTTAACTGAATCTCGAATTTGTCCTTTTGATACATTATTACATGAACTAGTTATTTAAATAAATAAAGTATGATAAAAATTAGTTTAGATATTATAATAAATAATTTTTATAATTTAAAGTTAAAACCTACCAAATTTGAGCTTCATCAGGAAGATCATCCGCACCTGGAGCTTGACCTGATTTAACACCAAGTATAAGCTCACCAGGAGGAGCAATTAAAGGTTTTTTTGATTTCATCAAAGCGTGAAGTTTGGCATAATCATCAGTGTCACCGACCAAAATACCACCAAGCAAGTATTTGCCATCAATTGAGAATATAAGTTTTTTATACACTGAACTAAAAGGATCAGTATACACCAAATGCATAATAGTATCATCTTCTTTAGCAAAACAATCACCAAAACTAGCAACATGAACTCCCAAAAGTTTAAGCTTACTCGATAAGTCACCTCCCAAAAATCGCTTACCCCCACCCTTAATCAAGTTATTTACGACAACATCAGCCATATCATAACCAGGCGCAACAAGCCCATAAACCGCACCACCATACAAAGCAACTTCTCCGATAGCATAAACATGTGGATTATTAGTTCGTAGGAGATCATCAACAAAGACACCACCACGTTGATGTGTTGAAATTCCTGATGCTTTAGCAAGATCATCACGTGGACGGATACCAGCAGCCATAATAACCATATCCATTTGAATAGTCTCGTTGTCAAATCGAATACCCGTAACTTTACCATCTTCATCAGCGGTAATCTCCTTTGGTGGATTATCGACAATACATTTAATTCCCAACTTTTTGATTTCATTTATGAGCATTTTCCCTCCTGCGGTATCTAATTGTCTTGACATCAATACTTTATTTCTTTCAATAATTGTAACTTCCAACCCTAAATCCATTAGAGCTTTAGCGGCCTCGAGACCAAGTAAACCACCTCCAATTACTGCACCACGTTTTGATTTACTACTATATTTAATGATTTCTTCTAAATCATCGATTGTACGATATACGAATACGCCTAATTTATCGGAACCGGGGACTGGAGGTACAAACGCATAAGAACCTGTAGCTAAGATGCATGAATCATAATTCACGGATATTCCATTTGCCGAAGTTACATGTTTGGCGGTCGTATCGATATGAGTTGCTTTTTCATTCATGTGAACGATCACATTATTATCTGAATACCAACTTGCAGGCTGCATTAACATTCGGTCTTTTTCTCGATGAGAAAAATATTGAGTCAAACCAACTCGATTATATGCAACTTAAAAAAATAGAAAAAATAGTATAAAATTTAATTATAAATCATAAAATGAAACTCGATTTTTTCTTTTAAAAAAAAAAATACAAATATTTACCATAGGGTTCTTCACAAAATACCTCAACCCTAAATTGTTTATCTTTGTCATTTTTTAATAATTTTTCAATAAAGTATAATCCAACCATACCAAGACCACAAACTACTACGGTCCGTTTTTCAACAGGGGCCATTATGAAATCAAATCAAATAATAAGGTGAAAAAGAAAGAAAGGAATAATAAAACAGAAGATAAAAAAAAATTTTTTTAAAAAATAAAAAAAAAATAAATAAAAAAATAAATAAAATAAAATAAAAGATAACGAGAAAAAATGGATATCTATAAATATATAAATATATATTATGGATTGAGGAAATACTGATAAGGAAATTATAGCTCGAGCATGATAATCTTATCACAAGATCGTTTAGATCGTTTGCAGAATGATAATTGCGGCAAAGAACGGAAATATGTTTGCTTATCTTTGATAAGTTATCATGTTGCATACAATAATTTATGTATATCACTATTATTGTAATAGATTTTTATCAGAATTCAGAATTTAAAATATTTAAAATAAAGGTATAAAATTGTAAATATTCTCTATTATGGACTAAATTTACATGTTACGCAGCGTCAATTGTCAAAATTCTTCTAATCGAGAAAATATTTGGATTCACATGAAGACTTAAAGGCGATCTTATCTTCTGATGATCATAATAATTGATGAATTTGATGATTGAGAAATGATTAAATTAAATTAAATTTAATTTCCAAGAATGAAAACTTGATTAAAAAAAAAAAGAAAGGAACATCGTATCGAAGATCAAATTTGCAAATAATTGGTGTATAAAGCTTATCAAAAGTATGTTATCTCTATTACTAAATCAAATAAAGTAAATGATATACGTATATGAATATCTATTTGTTTGGTTAGTTAATCAGTTTATTATTTGCTTTTTATTGCCTTTATTGTCTATTGTTGCCGTTATCAGTTATCAAACAAACCTATCTGAGGAACGTGATAAGGAAAGTTCTTATTGTCTAGAATTCGAGAATTATCGGGGAATAATGTGTATCAAGTGATACAATTAACCAATCTAAGTAAAATTATTAATAAATACTTGAATTTTAACCAATTAATTTTTTTTTTTATTCGGGTCGCACAAATTTAGATTTCATTGCGATATGAACTGCATATTGAACTTCGCCATAAATGCACCCCAATCAACTAATCGGAAGACCTTAGTTGAATTTCACGTGATAAAACATTGATAAGGGATAAATTAAAGTCTAGACCCTTGGGCTGTGCAAAATGAAAATTAAAGTCTTTTTACGTGCAAAATTCTACCATTATAGTACAAAACATATTTTTAAAATGGGAATGTTTCTCTCTCAAGTAGAATTTTGGTGTAACCATACTTAACGACATTTTACTTAATTTGTAAACACATATTGCGGGAATTCTTTCTTATCAATGGCGGTAAAATGGCTGTGAGAATCCACACTCAAAAAGGTGAGTTATAATTAAATATTCTCCAATATGTATTCTTCAAAAAGTAAATCACGTGATAATTGTATTATCGATTTTTCTAGTATAGCTATATACATTTGAGTAAAGAAAAAATACGCCGCTCTGAGTCTTTTCTACAATTTATAATAACTATTGTTTACGACAATTTTATTTTTTATCTTTTATTTTCGGTGGATTTTGTTTAAACATGTAGGAAGACGATTGTTTTAGGGAGGCTTTTTCAGTTTCGTACTTAATAATTATATAGCTAGTTACCTGTAGTTTGTACCGAAATTGAATTCTTTTAAGATATAATCTTATATTTACCTTCGAAACCACTATAAATATTTATTGATAAAAATTTTCTTGATATTATAATAATTTTATGAGTCAATTATTTTTCTTAATAATTTTAGTCCGAAAATATTTTAACATTTTCATGAGATAATACTTATTTTTTTCCTATTAAATATTAACTAATGAAATTTAAGCAAGCAGTTTACTTTTATATCTAATGAATAATATTCCATAATTGAAATCCAATGATTTAATTATTGTATTGAATGCATTAAAAAAATGTCATATTTAATGCCAATAACTTTTAATTTGCGTTCACGTTTATAATACTTTTTTTATAAACTACCTCTAACTTTCCTAATTTAGTACGTTAAATGTCCGCTGTTAAAAGCAAAATTAGTTTTTATTATAATATTACCTTCCCTTGAATCACTCATTTATAATCTTTCGTTATTGCAAATGCTTTTCCTACAATTACAGTACGTTCAATCTTTTAAAACTTTCAATTCGGATAATCGGATCTTAAATAATAAAATTTTATTCTATTTCTGTAACGTTATACTTCCGTCTTCTATCTGTTCTATCTGTGACCAATGATCAACTTGCGAGTACATATTTGTATGCTGTCTCATCTATTTACACAAGCGATCGCGATAAATCGGATCTTCGATAAACCGGATTTGGTATTATTTCGGATTTTTCTCCCGGAATCAAATCTGTCATATTAAAACAATCGCGATATACCGAATTTTATTAGTAAAGTCGCTAAGTCGAATTTGATTCTATATCAGTTATATCAAAAGAATCTTGATATATCGAATTTTTCCAAATTTGGTGTGCCTTCGCACGATTACCTTTTCAAATTACGAACGATCCGTTTATATTATTGTAATTTTAAAAAAATGCTTAATTCCAGCTGAAATGGTTAATTTTGACCAGAATTAAAATTAATCATTTTATACCGAAGTTCTTTACAAATATTGCATACAATTTTACCATTTTAATATTTTAATCAAAGTTTGGAAATAGCTTTATTTTTGATATATCGGATATCTTTCGCCTGTGTATAGCAGATAGTTCTTTTATAATAATAAAATTATATTTCGTTTTTGAATTTTAAAATTTTGAACGAAAAATCACGTGATATCTTGATATTTCGGATTTTTCGTATATTTTATATAAATCCGGTTTTCGGATGTCTTGATATATCGGATATTTTTGCTGGAACCAACTGATCCGATTTATCGAGATTGCCTGTGTATACTGCAATATTGTTCTCATGGTAGTGAATGAAGCCACAATTTCATGACATGTATTAAATTGTTGAGAGTGTTTCAAAAACTTACCTCCAGGATTCTGGAGCGAGCTGGTATCCTATAAAAATGAATAAAACATTATTATTAAACCGTTTTTTGAGAAATGTTTTAAAATTGGTTCAAAACTTACTTGCATCAGGAAATTTTTTCTACTTAAAAACATGGAAATCCACATCGAATATTGAATAGTTTCAATTACTCTGTGACAAAACACACGGTATTTTTGGCGTAGATCCACAAAATTCCGCGCAGGATATATAGGAATGTATGGAATTCCACATATTTCTGAACTAATCCATGTGGAAAACTCTTTTTTCTAGTTTTTATCAAGAAAAAAAATTTAGACGTGTGTTCAATTTTCCAAAAAATTTTTATAAGTTCGGTATCAAAGAGGGACAGAATTCCCCATAAAATAAAAAAAGGCTAATTAACATTTTTTCAAATAGGTTTAGTTAAAAAAAACTTTACCTAGTATGATGTACCTGTGTTTCGAACTTAATAAAATGTCAGCATCATGAAATTTTTAGGTAGATCGATCCATGCAATTCCATATGTATTAGTTCGGAAATATGTGGAATTCCATACATTCGGACATTCCCTTATATCCTACGCCAGATCTACGCCGAAAATACCACGTGTTTTGTCACAGGGTATTTGGAAATATTAGAACTTATTCGGATTTCGAGGATTTGTGGATTTTTAATGGAAAAAATGTCCTGATGAGTAAGCATTTGTAAAATAAATTAATGAAAAAATTTCCTGACTCCCCTTACCGAAATCTCACACTTCCAAAGTTTCAAAGTAGTTATCAACCATCTAAAAAAAAAAAATGAAATGTTATATAGTATCGTTTCGTTAAAAAAAAATTGAAAGGTGTCCAAAAAAATTCCGAGTTCCAACTGTAAATTCCACGCTCTGGACCCGTCTAAAAAAAGAATACGAAACGTTAGAAGACATTTTTCATAAAAGAAATATATTAGAAAGAGTAAATAACCATGGAATTTGCGCAAATTACCCAAGAACTTCTTAATGCTAACAAACCTCTACACGGAAAACAAAAAATCACAACTATTACCGAGATTACTACCTATAAAATAAAGAAAATTTTTTCATTTTCAGCAACCAAACTTATCAAATCAAAAAACTGGTTGTGACACTTTCAGAAGGAGGAAAAAAAAGTTATTAAAATAACTATTTTCAAGATGACAAATTATTTGCTATTCAAGATTATTATCTATCACTAAAGACAAAGAGCCTATTCTTAATGAAAGTTTATGAAATTTTATGGTGTACCGTAGGGAGCAAAACTTCAAAATTTCAAGGTTTCAATTTTTATAATTTTGTCACTTTTGGTCCCAACGGTACACCATAATAATTATCGATCCTCTATTGAGCAATCTTTTATTACTGAAAATGATGAATAATTTTATGCGTTATTGATTAAAAACCCAATTATTATTATTATTATTGGAGATCGTGGCAAAGTTAGCTTCAGACTAATGGAAATCTTTACCCCGTGGTAAGAAAAATTTCATAAAAATTTCGTAGCTACCTTACATAATTCAACTACAGACAGAACCCAATATAGTGAGCTCTCTGTTCAGGCGATTTTGGGTCGTTATATTGAATACTCGATAAATCAAATATTTTTATTATATTAAAAAGTATAAAAATTCGATATATCTAAATGAAATTGAGACTCATAGATATCAGGTGATTGCTGCGCTGAATAGTGCCAGCAGAGACTAAGTTAATTCTGGCTGGAATATCGGTCAAATAAGTAATGATTGACCAATATGTAATATCGCGAAATTTATAATAGTGATTAATTATAAATGGTTTTGGTTTAAGAAAAAAGTTCGTTATGGGTTTATTCCGAATCATTATATCGAGTTATGACTGTATTTTTTATTTATGGTAAGACCGTAAGAGTCATTTCAAAATAACCTTTTGTGTAACCTTTGTAAAGTTTAAAATTATGCATCGTGGCATCGTCTTTATTATATAAACAACTAAAAAAAAAGAGATTTCCCGATAAATGATCGAAAAGGAAATTTTGTATAATCCATTAGAATTTAAAATTTTCTTGTGGATTTCAAGTAACCCGACGACTTACTTTGTAAACATTAAGTGCATTTTGTCCCTTCCATGGTGAAACATAGTACCTGATTATACGGGTTTAATGATATAGGCGTGATACAGAATGAATATCTGGACAACACTTATTTGTTTGTTTATTACTAACAGAAATTATGGAAATTTTAAATCATAGTGTAGAGAAGGAGACTTCCTTTTTTATTCAATTTAATTGTTGTTTGCCATTTTTTTAACAATAAAAACCTTGCATCAATTAATATTAAATGTTGTGGAATACTTCACCCTTAAATTCACACTGAATTTAGCGTATAAATAAATTTATTATAGTAATAAATAAGGAAAAAATTTAATGATAAAAATAAAATTTTTTTTTATTCAAATAACTTAATTAGGGTTAACACTTACAAGGAAAAATTATTGATTGACTATTTATTGTTTCTAAAAATTAAAGGTTTTTCACTGATCCGTGGCAATTTATCGTAATAAATATCAATAGATAACTTTTAGTACATAAGTATTATTTATTTCATGGGGAGTTGGGAATAATAGAGTTTTTTTCCCGAAGGGAAAAAACCTTAACAGCTAATGTTCCCCTTCCCATGAAATAAATGGGTAATCCCCTGGAGCGTGTCACTCATTAAATATTAACTATTTTAAACTTAACTATTTTAAACTAAAATTAGTAATTTCCGGCTATCAATATGAGGACGGGAAATAAGTAAACGAAGATTCCCGGTCATTTATAAACTCAGCTAATCACGCGCAATTTTTAAAAATTAGTATGAAGGTGATCATGAGTGACACTTAGTGCGACAGGGGATTATATTATGTATTTATTAAACACTAACAGATAAAAGTAATTTTTACTTATAATCTTTAAAAGGTTAAATAAAATTTTGCGTCTAGTTCCGAACCTGTAATCCTCTAACAGTACTTATTTGTCTTTCAAGGAACTTTAATATCGTACTAAGTTCATTTTAAAATAACATATTTGAATATTATTTATAAATTATATAAATAACTGAAACGCTGAAACGCGTAAATATTTATTTCGGATTTTCAGGTAAAAATGGGAAATGGGTGGTACACCCGATATTGCATTACGAAACCATTACAAATAACTTTTTTACAATATTTTTACAAAATATAAAGCTCAAATTCATATATGAAAAATCGGTTTTTTCGATCTTTCTATGATCTATCCGCAATAATTAGCTTTAATATATAACAGTCGTTTTACAATATCATCAAAAATAATTAAAACAAAGAACTTCATATGTTCAAAGATTTAATTTAAGTAACATGAGAACTAGGAGGAAACCTCAAAAACTTTGTCCAGATTGTAAGGAAACGAACGACTGCATTAAGCTCTTATCTAATAAAGTTTATATGTGGAAAAAAAGAAGCTAAACGAATTTCTGTATTCAACGCAAAGTTCAATTTAAATAATGTACCTTGTGAATTGGAATATGATTTATCAAATTTCACGTTAGAAATTCTACAAAATTAGTAACTTTTGCGAGAACAAGTAAATATAATGATAAGGGATAGTTGTCAACCATCTGTTTTTTTCCGTCTTCTGACTTACAGAAGTTGAACATTCTTAATCCAAAATAGTTCTTAAGTATTTTGTAGCAGTGATAGCCAGATTCCATTTTATTTATTTATTTTTTTATAATGAAATAAAATACTCAGAATGATAGTGAACAGCAGTACCTATAATAAATTTATCTGTAATGATGTTAAAATTTTTCGTTTTGATTTTTATTCTCACAATCATTAAAAAATTTATTATAACACTGTATAAACTTTAAAAGCGTGTTTCTTTAGGTTTGTTATTTTAGAATGTTACAAAGTATTAAAAAAAAAGGTAATTTAACATTTTACATAATATTACTTCCTTTCCTTCAGTTATCATAAAATCCATAAAATCTACTTTCTCACGAAAGGGGTGGTCTGTGTGTATTAATTATAATGTATACTGTATGTTATTATTCACTTTATATAAAAAACGAATTATTAAAAGAGTAATTTTATTAATCTTATTCAGTTCATTAATTAAACTTCCTTAAAGAATACAGTAGAAAATCGTAAAAAACTTAAAAACAAGTTAAGAGATAAATTCGTCGTATAATTATTATTTATAAAGGTTACTGAATATAGATAGCGGTTGTTTAAGTTGTAGATGAATATTAGCTGAGTTTGAAAAATTGCGTTGTACCGTATAAAGTTCGCGTTTTACAAGAGTAAATTTTGCAATTTTACTAAAATGCTACAAGTTTGTATCGAAGGGATTATTAAATTAGGTTATCATTAAACAAAAAAAAAAAAAATCTTAAAAATCTCTAATCTAGGTTCATTGTATGACTCTCATATATAATTTGTATAAAAATACAATTTGATTAAACGAATATTTTAAAAAGTCTTATATAATACCATATAATAATTTATAAACCATAATAAAATATTTGAATAAAAATTTACAGACCACCATCTTAGTATAAAAATTATGTAAATTCTATTATAATGTTGTGTTTATGATGAAAAAAAAACAAATTTTCATAAAAATATTTTTCGAGATAGAAGCGCAGTTTCAAATTAAACTAAGTATGAAAAACATATTTTAACGAAACAATGAAGAGGTTGTTGAACATCCAGCAGGTAAAATTAAAGATTCGAAACTATTGTTATTATAAAAACTTGTTCCATTAAAGAAATCATTTTCAATGGAATTATTCGTAATTTGAGGTGTGTTTATTAGAGAAATTCGATCTATAGTACTAGAATTATTTATCAGTCGAATTTCTGCAACGCGATTTCGGTTTATATTGATATTATTTGTATTATTTGTTACATTAATAAATCGTGACGTTCCGCGTTGTCCATAATTTCTTGATGACATTGGAAGATGTTTTTTTGTGATGCTTGTACAAAAATCGATGAAAATTTTGCTGTATAAAATTAAAAATCTTTACCAAAGGAATTTTCGATGCTTTTATAAGAAAAAATCCTCAATATCTCTTTATTAAATTTCCAATTTGAGTTTGAATAAATTTTAATAATATAAAATTTTTCTTTGCCAACTTAGGAAGGTAAATTAATAACAATCGGCAATTTGTTATTATTCGATTAGGATTTGTTATCTTTGTTTCAAAATTCCTTTCCTCGAAAATCCATCTATTTTTAGATTTTATTATTGATAAATATGTAATTTTAATTTTAGTTATCTTTCAGTTTCGATTCTTGTGCTTTTTTTTTTTGAAAGAACTGCATTGCATTTAAATTTTGCAATCTTTATATAATTGGGTGCTCAGGATGGGTTTTTAATTATGTTTATGATTTTATGTTTATTTACTTGATGAAATCATTATTATCTTATTAAGCGTTTCATGATAATAATGACAGTAATTATATTAAACGTTTACGGAACATAAGATATTATATAATTATCCAATGGAAAAGGGAGAATAATATTATTTTTACTTGCTTATGGATTGGCTGAAAATAAGCCACGATTAAGCCACGATAGTGGGTTGACTTTTGTATCAGAGAATTCAGGTATGATGATTTTCTGTGGTGATTAAAGTTAATTATGTAAAATCCTGTGATTTGGCCAGAATTATGCAAGGTCGGCCAACATTACGATTCACAAATTCTAGCCAAACTTAATGTCGGCCAGCATTATGATGATTGCAAATCCTAAATCAGTCGAAAATTAAATAATCCTATTCTGTGATTTCTGTGAAATTCCGTGAAACACGGAAAATCATCGATGATTGTGTATATCAGTGCAAAAATAATAGTAATATTTCTATAATATTCTCTTATTTACTTTGCAACAAGTAATGCTTTGAAAATATAACGTGTCAATTTTTAACGAATGATATTTCGCCGTATCTAAATTAGCAAGATCATCTCAATCATATCAACAGAAAAAAACCGAATTAAATTTAGTAAAAAGGCGATAGTTATTCGTACCCATTTTTGTTATTTGTATCCAACATTATTTAATGACACGTGATATCGCTTGGCCAAATTTTCCTTAATTCTAGCCATGTGAGTACGAATAACAAAATTGGGTTATAAATAGCAATGGCCAATAAAAAAGAATTTTAAGAACTATGAATATCATACAACGAAAAAAAAGGAAATATTCCATTTAAACAAAGAAAATTAATTCGAGATCCGGAATTAAGCCCTATGATATATTTGTGCATAACAAATCAACAAATCAATTTTAATTATCCCAAAATCAGTATATCATTTTCTGTAAGGCGGCGTTATCTACAACAACAGTAAAATAACTAATCGGAATAATCAATCAATATTATCATTAAATTGAAATTGGAAAGATTTATACTTTAACCAACCATAAGTCCATAACTGAAATCTTTTAAACTGTTGTGTTCGATCCCAGGATTACTACTTATAGACTGCAATAAAATTCCAAAATATCAACTATATTTTTTATTTATTTATGGTAAGTAGGTTTTTAATAATTTTGATCTGCAACAATTTATGCATCGTCTTATTGTTGTTATATACAAACTACTAAAAAAATAAAAGGGATTTGCCAATAAATGATTAAAAAGGAAATTTTGTATAATACATTAGGAGTTTACTTGTGGATTTCAAGTAACCCGCTAAAACCCGACGACTTTGTTCCTTGCGAATTGGAATATGATTTATCAAATTTCACGTTAGAAAATTCTACAAAATCAGTAATAACAATAATATGATAATGATAAGTAAAGATTAAAGTGTATTGATATTGAGACTACTACTACAAGATCCGTGATGCAATATCGGGAGCACCTATCCCGTTCCGAAGTGGCACAATCTGACCAAATCAAATGGCTGAGATCGAAAACAGCAAAGTATTGCCTAAAGACCTATGCAATAAGTGCCGATATGGAACTCATTTTTTCCTGAAAATTCCGAATTCCAAATATATTTTTACGCGTGTTGCCAGAATTATTTGATAATTCAATTATTTATATAATTAATAAATAAATAATATTCAAATATGTTATTTTTAAAATGAACCTAGTAAAGGTTACTGTATATTTTAAGGTTCCTTGAAAGACAAATTAGTACCTTTTGAGGTTTAGTTTATAGTGAGGATTTTTCTTATAAAAGCTTGAAAATTTCCTTTGGTAAAGATTTTAAGTTTATACAGCAAAATTTTCATCGATTTTTGTACAAGCATCACAAAAAAAATGTCATCAAGAAATTATGGACAACATGGGACGTCACAATTTATTAATGTAGCAAATAATACAAATAATGTCAATATAAACCGAAACCGCGTTGCGCAAATTCGACCGATAAATAATTCTAGTACTATAGATCGAATCGCTCGAATAAACACACCTCAAATTACGAATAATTCCATTGAAAATGATTTCTTTAATGGAACAAATTTTTATGATAACAATAGTTTTGAATCTTTAATTTTACCTGCTGGATGTTCAGCAACCTCTTCATTGTTTCGTTAAAATATGTTTTTCATACTACGTTTCTATGTCGAAAAAAATATTTTTTATGAAAAATTTTTTTTATTTTCATCGAAAACACAACATTATAGTAGAGTTTACATGATTTTTGTAAGATGGTGGTTCGTAAATTTTTTATTCAAATATTTTATTATGATTTATAAAATTATTATATGGTATTGTTTAAGATTTTTTTAAAATATTCGTATTTTAGTATTTATGAGAGTACCTAGATTAGAGATTTTTAAGAATTTTTTTTTTTCGTTTAAATGATATAATACCTTCGATACAAACTCGTAGCATTTTAGTAAATTTAATGCAAAATTTACTCATGTAATGAATATTCCAATGCGAATTGGAATACGACCATCAAGTTTTACTTTAGAGTTATTACGGTACCAAGCAATTTTACAATCTCAGCTAGTAATATCTATTCATCTAGTACAACTTCCTTAACGATGATCAACCGCGTTATTTGCATTCAATAACCCTTAATTATAGAATTTATCTTTTAACTAATTTTTTACGATTTTCTACTGTATTCTTTAAGGTTAACTTGCTTTTTTTTTTAAAAAAAAAATAATAATAATTCAATATCGCAAAAAAAGAATAAATGCTTTTGCAGCTATTCTTTATATTTCACCTTAAGCACTTAAGCATTATTAGAAATATTGTTGTTTTAAAAATTATGTTTTTAATAAGGAAGTTTTAATTAATAAACCTGAATAAAATTCATAAAATTACTCTACAGTATTAAATCAGTTTAATAATCCGTATTTAATATATCAACCTTTTAAAGAGCTTTATAAAAAGAACTTGTTCATAAAATAAATAAAATGATTTTTTAGTTGTTTGTTTTTCTTTTTTTTTTTTTAAGAAAAAAACAAAAAAATTTTTTAGATTTATATTTATAAAAAAAAATGCTTAAAGCTGCAGTCCTCGGAATTTTGATTTCCATATATACATATATAGTTACATAAAAATTGAAAATTTTATTTAAGGAATAACAATTCCGTGTAAATCCAACGGAGTTAGATGAGTAACATAAAATTCAAAATATAGACGGATTTCATTGTTTTGAACAGCCATTTATTTATTCATTGAAAAAGAAATTTTCCCTGAAAATGAAATAAAATAAAAAAAAATATGTTTATTCTGAAAGTTAAATGTTCAAGGATGATTGTATTAAAATAATTTTTCGGCGTACAATTTCAAATAATACTTTGAAATTTTTTCTTCAAATACTCTTTTTTTAATCCGTTAAAGTAATTCTAAGAAGTAAGAATTATTTTATTACCATATTAAAAATTTTCATAAATTTTTTTAAACAATAATAATAAATATATTGTATATATTTTACAATATATTTTAACGGAAAAATTATATAAGTGGCTGAGTATTTAATAAAACTAAACCAATGTTAGAAATTGAATGATTAAGAAAATGATCGGTTGTGAACTTGTGGCTCGTAATTAGTTTAAAAAGTCCCAAATAAAGAATTGAAATTTTGATCTTATGCAAATTAATTTAAATCGAGTTACACACGTTTTATAACACATGAAGAAAAAGGAAACTTATAAACATAAAAGATTCGTTTTAAAAACTATTATTAGTAAATTGTTTTATGACGAGATCATGATGACCAAATGTTTCATTGATGAGGATGCTTTTAATTAAACCAATTCGTTGTAAATAAGTTTAGAATCCAACTACTTTTTTTGTCAGGTTTTCTCAAACATTAATGTAATATTTAATGTACCCTTGAGTTATGGATATCAGAGATCGTGCAGAGATCATGACAAGTTAACAACTATTATCGTGCTCCGTATATTAAATATACAGTAATTGCCGATAATTTTGTTATTTTTAAAAAATCAAAGATAAACTATAATTTAAAAGTTATAATTAAGCTAAGTCCATACTATGGGTCACGCGATCGATAATATGATTGTTATTATGTTTTTCGAGTTTGCGTTGATAAATATCACAATTATTAACCAATTCTAGCATTCTGCTGATTGGATAGATTTTGACCACTACGTGACCAAATCTTTACCAATCATCTGCTATCATTGGTTAATAATTGTGATATTAATCATATTAATCGTTACAAAGCACAATAACTTATAATTATTTGATTGAATAATTATTCAGAAACAATTCCCACCACAAATATTTATAACCGTTAAATCAAATAAAATACTAACAGAATATTCAAAATATTGTTTATTTTGGCGGATGTAATATAAATGAAAAAGTTACTACATTTAATATCAATTAATAAAATTAATAAACTGGATATAATTAGCTCTAGAAATTTAGTTAATGTTTAAAACAATGCAAGCATCTAGTAGAAGGAAAAACAGATATTTGTAAGCAAATTTTATCTACCATTGGTTGGTAATCGACAAGGTATACCATGAGCCAATTCTACAAGAACGATAAATAAACCAACAGCTAGGTTACAATTGATGTGAACGACTTCATGCAGCAATTTTATATATTAATAGAAAAGAAAAAGGTGAATACTTAAAGTAAATGGTTCAAAGTCGCAGTTAAATGCTATACATACATACATATATATATATATGCCAGATAGTAAGGAGTTTTATCCAAGAACCCTATCCAACGAAACCTTTATCAATACCAATATTTAATGAAGCTGCAATTGTTTACTATTATTATCATGTGCACGAAAATCCAGGTATTAAATAATACTAAAAATTCAGATTCACCTCCAGTAGATGTATTTGAACTTGTAACTAACGATATACAGTATCTTTAAGTAATCTTCAGCATTATTTACACGTCTATCGACAAAAAAATCACAATTATTAATTCTGAATCAGTTCCCTACTTACTAAATACTGACAATTCTACTGATTGCTATACCAAAGGAATAAAACTTCGGAGCAATATTTTAAGAATTATTAATATTATTACAATAAACAAAGAAATATGTTTCAAGATATTCGAAATTAGAGCGTGGCTTCAAATCAAGTAGTAATCAAAGTCTAATAACACTTAAGTATCAAGTGTATCAAAGTGTATCAAGAGTATCAAGTGTATCAATAGTAAATATTATAAAAGAAAAAATTCTGAAATTTACAGGAATACTCATTGAATTTTTAATGGTTTATAATTAGGCGAGTAATAAACATTTTGACAAATTTTTTGCAAAAGTATGGATTGGAGTTCGTCAAATTTAGAATCAAGTTCGTGCAATTTCTAGTAAAATTACGCTTATCCCAATCGTTCGCCCAGAATATAACTATTACATAGTAGTAGTATTTCTGTTTGCTCGTTTTTACATCTGATATAAAATTTATTATTAATTCGTAATCCGTCTAAAAAGTGGAGAATTTAATTAATAAAATTCGGGGAAAGTATAAAATTATAAAACAGAACTTTACATGAATTTTCTTTACCAAAAGTTGGTTTAACACCAATTTCTATATTAGTATACTTTGTATAATGTCATTTAATGATGCATACACGAAAGTTTATATGTTACACAGAAATTGCGATTGTTACACATGAATCTGTGAGAGTCGTACAAAAACTTTACCACATATAAAACATTTTTTTATTTCTTTTAGAAAAGGCACCAAACTTCAAGCAAATATAGCCAACTTAATGTATTCATATATATTTAGTTTTAAATTTGAAATTATATTTAAGAAATACATACTTGTCTATAAAGAATAAAATAACAAAGTTGCCCCGATTTTTAATAGTTTTAAAATTCTCTACGGATCACGAATTAATAATAAAATAATTGTAGTAAAATAGTAAACTTAGAATTTGTACTTTGTGCTGATTGTGCAACAAGTAATATATATGCTTTGAAATTATAACGTGTCAATTTTCAACGAATGGTATTTCGCCGTATCTAAATTAGCAAGATCATCAAACAATCATATGAAAGGGTGTCAAAGAATGTTTCAGAAAAAAAAAGTGACTCATCTTGACTATATATATTTGTCGTAATCTTTGCCACGGCTAAAATCGGGCTAAGAGTTGTGGCGTCACATATTTTGGCTCGGAATTAAATTTAATATCATACAAAAAAAAAAAAAAAAAAAAAAAAAAATTTTTTCTTTAGAAATATTCTATTTATTTAAATGTTAAACAAAGAAAATTAGCCCTAAATCTATATTTGTGCATAAACAAATCAACAAATCAATTAATTTAATTATCCTAATCAGTATATCATTTTTTTTTTGTAAACAATAATAAATACGCGCGTAAATGTGATGTACTGTGTACTGTATACAGTAAATCAGTGAATTATTGAATTTGAGCGTTTTAGTTAATTATAGCGTTATCTAAAATAACTAATCGTAACAATCAATTACTAGCCTTTTATGAAACAAAGAAACACGCTTAATCAATGTTTTGAAATTGGAAAGAGAACAAAGAAAAGGACAATATATTTGTAAACAGCTAAGGATTATGAGAGTATATATAAATCAAAACATTTGGATCACAAGATAGTCAAAAATTACTCATGAATATCATGATCATTAAGTGGGCTAAACTCCGTAAATCTTTACCCACCCCCTGATGATAAACTGGATAAAATGGATAAACTGGTAAAAAAAAATGCCTGCTGTGCCGAATGAACCTTCCGAAACTTTTAAGGCTCACAAGGATTACTACTTATAGACTGCAATAAAAATTCAAAAAATTCAACAATATTTTTTTATTTGTTTATGGTAAGTCATTCCAAATAACCTTTTTGTGCGACTTTCGTAAGATTTTTAATTTTTGATCTGCAACAAATTATGCATCGTTATTACAAAATACTAAAAAAATAAAAGAGATTCGCCAATGAATGATTAAAAAGGAAATTTTGTATAATACATTAGGAATTTTCTTGTGGATTTCAAGTAACCCGCTAAAACCCGACGATTTTGTGAACATTAAATGCATTATTTTGTCCCTTCCATGGAGAACCATGACACGATTGAAGAATGAATAATCTGGGGGATTAAGGTTTTGACACGTAAAATTCCTTATTATAATCAATTTATCAATTCGTATGTAAAATCAATTAACAACACTTATTTGTTTGTTTATTACTAACAGAAAACTATGGGGAATAAAAGAAGGAGATTTCCTATTTAATTTCAATTTAATTTTGTTTACCATTTCTGTAGCGATAAAAAACTTTGCATCAATGCTGTGGAATATTTCACTCTTAAATGTATGCTAGTTTTAACGTATAAATAAAGAAATTATATATAAATAAGGAAAATTTTAATGATAAAAATGAATTTTTTTTTTATTCAAATAACTTAATTAGGGTTAACACTTATATAATACGGAAAAATTAATGATTGACTATTTATTATCTCCTTGATCCGTGGGAAATTTATGGTAATAAATATCAATAGATAACTGAATAACGGTATATATCAGTACCATAAATTATGTATTTATTAAATACTACCAGATAAAAACTTGTGATCTTTAAAAGGTTAAAATATGACCTATTAAAAACTAAATTTTTTGAATCTAGATTTCGAACCTGTAATCCACAAATGGTATTATTAGTACTTATTTGTCTTTCAAGGAACTTAAATATACAGTAACCTTTACTAGGTTCATTTTAAAAAATAACATAATTTGAATATTATTTTATTATAAATTATATAAATAATTGAATAATCAAATAATTCTGCCAACCACGCGTAAAATATATTTGGAATTCGGAATTTTCAGGAAAAAATGAGTTCCATTTCGGGACGGGGTAACCCGATAATGCATTATAATTCTCATTACAAATATAATTTTCATAATCATTGTGAATATATTGTCTATCAATAAATTCAACTTTATATAAAGATGGGATGAATTTTCTAGCCCTCAAAATTTACGTATGAAAAAATCGATCTTTTGGATCGTACCTATGATTATATCTTTTCACAATAATAAGCTTTAACATAACAATCTGTTTTACAATGTCATCAAAAAATAATTACGAACAAAGAACTTCATATGTTCAAAGGTTTAATTTAAGTAACATGAGTAACATGAGAACTAGGAGGAAACCTCAAAAACTTTGTCCAGACTGTAAGGAAACGAACGACTGCGTTAAGCTCTTATCCAATAAAGTAAATAAGGTAGAAGAAATCGTCAGCGATTTTTATAAAAATCTTCAAAAAAAAGAAGCTAAGCGAACTTCTGTATTTAACGCAAAGTTCATTTTGAATAATGTACCTTGCGAACTAGAATATGATTTATCAAAGTTCACGTTAGAAAATTTACAAAAGTTAGTGAATTTTGCGATACCAAATCACAACAACAATAATAATAATAATGATAAGGATAATAATAATCCATCATCTGTTTAACAAATAAAATATATATTTTATTTATATAATATATGTCAAATATATCAGCAGAAAATGATAAATATAAATAAATAAAATCCCTTAAAAATTCATAGTTTGGATTTTTATGCCTTCTGATTTATAGAAGCTTCAGAATTTCTATTAATCCAAAAATAGTTCCTCACAAAAAAAAACAAATGTATAAAATTGGTTTTATTTAATGTAACAAATAATTGTTTAAAATGCACCAATTTCGCATTAATAAATTCGACATCAATAATACATAAAATAATAATTATAAATATGTTTTACAAATTTATACATTTGGTGTTTGGTTACTATTTCTGGATTATTTCGAATTTATTATTATTTCATTGATACATTGATTACATAAACAAAAACAATACAAAAATTGGGTTCATTTTCATTTTCAATGTTACCGAAATGGATTTCCAAAAAAAGAAATGATTTATTGTTAATAATGTATTATTATAATGAGATATTCTGTTTAAGGTGATTCATTTTAATTTCCATTTATTTAAAATTGATTCATTAATTGTAGAAAACATAAAAATGGTTCTTTCCTACCAACATATATATATATATATTAATTATAAATACTAAATTTCTTATTTCCCAATTTTAATGTTAGTATCGTCTTAAGGTTTTCTACATTATTATTAAATTATCGAAACTATTATTATTAATATTATTACACTGCATAAAAAATTTGTATATCGTGGGAAACTCTAAAACAAATTATATAGAATATTCGAATCTAGAACAACCCCAGGTAAAAAAATAAAAATTTGTTTGAAATATGCAAAATTCTCAACCTAATACTCATTTAGTATAAATTGAGATTGGTAGGTCAGCTGATTCGAATGTTCGATGATTCTATTTACATTATACTAGCTTCAAGAAGAAAATTATGTAAAAATGCTAACATCATTATAACCCCAACATTAGTTGTATCATATGTAAGGGCTCAATAATTGAATGAATACCAATTAAATCTACTTTTTTACTGGGGGCGACACTTAAATTAATAGCAAATAATAAAACTTTAGAAGGTCATATCAATTAAATGAAATTTAACCAATCAATGGCATTCCGTATTATGTATAAGTAAGCTAGAATTTTAATAATGCTCGTTACTGCATTTAATGAAAAATGCTAATTGCAACATAAATTCAAAGATTACACCATCATTTATCAACATTAATGGTTGAAAATGAATTTTTTTTTCTTTACTTCTAGAAAGTTTCATATGTATAAATGACCAATCTGAACTTTGTACAGACAATTTCACTTACTTTTAGCCCATACTATCAGAACTCTATATAGTCGGTCATTATAATATCACTATGTTGGGGTTTTTTACGCCAAATATTTAGGTAACATATTTTTAACCAATCATTTACCTTCCGCAGGTAAAAAAAAAAAATTTAACAATGCACTGTTGCCCAAGCTTCCCCATTAGGAATGTTTCTATCTACAATATCTAGCCAAATAAATCATTTATTACGCTCGATTTTGTCTCATACTCACGTGCATTCTTACACGAAGAACAAGTAATAGAACAAGTTGAAAAATCCGTTTTTTTTATACTTGGTAATATATTACATGTATAAAAAAAAATTCTCATCGGCATGACCAACATATTTATAATATCTAGTGTTTTTGATTGCAGATCAATGATCAGATTTGCTAACTATAAGTGTTCAAGTTCTCGCGTTATTATAAGCCAAAATTAGTAATAAGGAGGCAGTAGTTTCAACCGGCTATTGATTAATTAGTTATATCTAACAGCAGTATTAGATTACATTCGGTAAATAGATATTAAGCATAAATTAAAAAATCAATTGTTTCTAGTTTTCGGTTCAAAGCTTACATTAAAATTAAATCGATCTTTTGTTCATAGAAAATTGAATGAAGAAAAGCTTGAAATTTTTTTATATAAAGCGCTGGCAAAATCGTTGGTTAAAAATCTATGGATAATTCAAAAAAAAAATTCAAAAAAAAAAAAAAAAAAAAAAA